AAAAGCTATGAAGTATGGAGACAACTTTTTTTGTTTTCACTTTTTGTTCTTATGACAGAAAACTGAGAAAATCAAAAAATAGCTAGTTTAGTATTGAACCCTATTAATATTTTAGAATATTATCATTTTATTAATACTTAATAATATGTTTAGGACATGAAATTAAGGACTGCCAAGGTTTAGAAAGGGAAGTATTCAATGATGGATCAACTATAGAATTTTCAGCTGATGTTCAGTTCATATTTGTACGTTTGAATGTGTTACGTGAATATTTAGAACGAGAATTGGAAATGCCTAACTTACCCTTTAAATATGAATTTGAACGAGCTCTTGATGATTGGGTGTTTATGTGTTTTTTTGTTGGTAATGATTTTTTGCCTCACTTGCCTTCATTAGAAATACGGGAAAATGCAATTGATCGTCTTGTTTCTTTATATAAAAAAACTGTGTACAAAACTGGGGTAATTGTTTTATAATTAAATATAATATAATATATCCTTTTGTAACTTATATTTAAATATTTAAACTATTTTTATTTTCAGGGATTCTTAACTTCAAATGGCGATGTGAATTTAGAAAGAGTACAATTAATAATGTCTGATTTGGGTATGGCTGAAGATGAAATATTTAAAAAAAGGCAACAAACTGAGAAAATGTTTGCTGATAGAAACAAATTGAAAAAACGACGTGAAAAGCGAGATAAATTAATGCGTTCAAAGAGTGCTCCTAATTTTGTCCTGGGGGGTCAATATGCACCAACAGTAATTATAACATTTTATTAATAAGACTAACCTTTTTTATTTCTATTATTGAATTAATTACATTTGTTAATATTTATTTTAGGCACCAAATACAGCATTTTCAATATCCAATCCAAGACAAACTGTTGATGATATGAGGAGACAAAGTGTAGTTAGTATTTAAAGTATATTTATGGTAAAATATATTGGCAAGTTTTATTGATTTATATTACTTTTTATCTAATAGGGTAATGAAAATAATCAAGGAGTGAAACGGAAAAGAGATGATGATGAATCATCGGACGAAGAACAAGAAATACCTGATGAAGTTCGTTTATGGGAAGATGGTTTTAAGGAACGTTACTATGAATCTAAATTTGATGTAGACAGGACAAACAGTGGTTTCCGACATAAGGTGGCTTTAGAGTATGTGCGTGGTCTTTGTTGGGTTCTCCAATATTATTATCAAGGTTGCCCTTCTTGGAAATGGTATTTCCCTTATCATTATGCACCTTTTGCATCTGACTTTCTTAATATATCTGCAGTATCCACAAAATTTGAGAAAGGAACTGTTCCAGTATGTTTTTTTTATAATTTTTTATAATAATTCATTACTTAATAATTATCAATGTTTATGATTTTGTTTATAGTTCCGTCCATTAGAACAACTTATGAGTGTTTTTCCTGCAGCCAGTAGCAAACATGTACCTCAACCTTGGGCTATTTTGATGAGTGATCCAGTGAATTATTTTTAATACCAATACTTTATATGATTAAAAGTATATATTTTTTTATAATAGAAATATTTAATTCATAGGAATCAACTATAATTGATTTTTATCCAGTGGACTTCAAAATTGATTTAAATGGTAAAAAGTTTGCTTGGCAAGGTGTTGCACTATTGCCATTTGTTGAGGAAGCAAGACTACATAAAGCCTTGGAACCATATTATGATCTTTTAACTTCTGAAGAAAGTATGTAAACAACGTTTATATTTATTATATATTTTATTAGTGCTTTAAAACATTATACTTTGTTAATTAAAAGAATTCAATTCAACTTTCAAAGCAAAAATAGTTATTTTAATTTAGTTCCATAATAATTACTAGTTTTTTTTTAGTTTTTTTGTAATTAATAATAATTCATGTATTATTAATATGTTGTGAAATATCATCTTTCATTTTAAAACAATGAAATATTTTCATTAAAACGTGCATACATTTCAGTGGTGTCAGTAAAATTCTATTATCATTCACTGTGGCTGTAAATTGTGTCTGGTTACATTTATACGCTAGCACTGCAATGTATGCCTTTATAGTAGGTCAATATCTTTTACTGATATTCTTCAATTGATTTATATGTATGATAACTTTTACATGTTTTTTATTTTAACAAAGTTAATTGAAAAAAATTAACATTAAGTAAATTGTCTATCATCTATTTAAATAAATAATAATAACCTCTTAAATGTTTATGCTATGTAACTAAGGTATGTTAAAAATATATTTTTTGGAATTTATTTACATTGTCCTACCAATGTTTAATGTGGTTTTAATATATTTAATTATTTTTTAATTAAAAAATAGTCATTTTATGGAATCTTCTTTATTTTTTATTTTTAATTTAAATATTAACAATTAGGACGACGAAACGTAAAAGGCATGGATCGTTTGTACATTCAACAAGATAATTCCAAGTATGAATTGCTTAAAGATTTGTATCTAGATAAAGCTAACTATGAAAACTCAACATCTGTACTTATTGATGGTATGGAAGGGAAAGTTATGTTGGCTGATGACTGTGTTAAAATAGGAGGGTAATTAAAATTCAGTTATTTAATCACTGTTGAATACATTTAATTATCTAATATGAATTATTTTAGATCTCTTCCATCCCCAGTTATGGGATTAAATGTTGTGAGATCAAATCAAGTTATATGGTATGTTTCAAATGTTACTTTCCTGTGCTTTGTAAAATATTTTCTCATAGAATTTTTTTTAGTGTGAAATTTGAAGATCCTAAGTATGGAGATGATTATATATTTGAAGCTATTCGCCTTCGAGGTGTTGTGTAAGTTTAGTTTTCTTTTATTAGAAATGAAGTATTTTTTTTTAATTAATTTTTTTGTGTAGAGAACCACCTAGAGTATTAAAGCCAAAGCATTTGTCTGATGAACAATCTCGTTCTTGGAGACCTATGATTGGTATGACCCATTCAAATCAACGTGGAAGGCTTGCAATATCCGGTCATAGAACAGTTTCGTATGTATACATTTTTAAAAGTTTTTGTTTAAATAATGATAACAATTTTATTTTTAGGCATTATGTACCCAGAAATGCAAGTAACATACCTAGAAATACAAGTAATTATGGTTCTGTCCCTCCACCACAAAGTAATTGTCACTAATTTATTGCTAAAATTGAGTAATTTACTTTATTAGACTAATTGATCTCTATTTTTAGATTATCGAAACAATGGTCGTCAAAATGACTATTCAAATTCTAGGCGTCCGGGTAATAATTGGCATGCAAATCAAAACCAATTCCCACAAAATAATCAGAATACTAACAGAGCCAATTATGGTCATCAACAAAATAGTTCATATAGATCAGACAATAATGCATATCCAAACTATGGAACTCAACATACATCTGATCAACAATCTATGCGCAGAAATGATAGACCAGGATATTATTCTACTGGTTATCAAGCTAATAATCCTCAGTTAGTAATTTTTTTTAACCATAATTATTCCCAACAATAAAATAAAATTTTTGTATTGTAATCTAGGCCTAGACAATCTTTTAATGGTAATGTAGGTCCGATTAGAGGATCACAAAATAATCGTTATCAACCATATAACCATACTACCCAAAGAGTAAGTGTTGAATTGAAGCTTAATAAATATATTATTTATTTATTGATAATTTTTTTTACTTTTGTATTTAACAGGGTGGTCCAAGGCCTCATGGTTACAACTATCGTGGAAATTATTGACAACAAAATTAAATTATCAAATTGTATTAATACTTTTTTTCATAAATTTTAAAGTATGCTAGAAATGGATCCTCCAATATTGTTGAAATTCAAATTTTATAATATACATATTATATGCATAACTTATAATTGATTTATATAATGTAGTGACTAGGTAAAATTTTTGATATTTACCATTTTTTTTTTTTTTTGTAATAGACTTAATTTTGTTTTAGTACCACTATCATTGGTAATTTTATTATTGAAAAAATTGTTTATTACATATATTTTTTTTAAATTTAAATTCAAATAAACTGATTTAAAAGAAAATTTATGATTACATTTGGCCATGCTTATCTTTTAAGTGTTATACATAAATGTTGATACTTGTTTGTTATTGCTCTACCACCAAAACATGTTTTTGTATAATGTAAAAAACTTTTTAATAAAATAATAATGAATAATGATAATAATATTATATATTATATTACTTATAAATTATTATTATAAGTAAGACTTTACCCTAATTAACTCTTAAGACCCTTTAATTATCATTTCTTGGTGACCAGTCACACATTTAAATTAATGCCAATATAAATTTCATACTTACAAACAATAGTATGAAATAATAAAATGCAATTAAACAATTTTAATTAAGATAAAACTTTCTTAAATGTAAATATTGAAAAAAATAAAATTTTGAATTTTTAGACACTACAGGCGAATAGTCAAGTACTCCCTGATAGTAAGATTATACATTTTTTCTATCCATGCTGAGTAAATTATCTGTGTACAGTGAATCCAACGCTCCTTCACAATAGTCAGCCACTGATTATGTTTATTAAATTGAACAGAGAATAGTATGCCTAAATGTCTTATGGACACAATGTAAGATAGAGAATCAACTTATACAAGGCTCCTTTTATGGTTCAATTGAGAATAAGAAAAATTAAAATTTTATTTTAATAATTTTGTCTTTTTTTGTTGATAAAAACATTTATTAGATAGTACAAAACTACAAACAATGATTTGAAAATGATTATATTTTACTTAAATCACATAAACCAAATAACCGTGCTGTTTTTTCTATTTATGGATTTTAAACTTCAAATTGAATATTTATTTTTTGACATAGAGATAACTTGAAATGTTTTACATGAAAAATATTTATGAAAGAATTATCTGCCAAAGGTATATGATTTTTTTAAAAAGTTATGTTGGCATAGGAATCTTAGGATTAAGTATAAAGTATATTGTATATGTTAAGATAATAAGAAAACAAAATTATTGTTTGATTATAATAGACACATAGTTTTATTAATAAAATATAATACAATTGATTTCTATTTACCATTTAACAATTCATAAATTTGTCCACCATCCAATTACTCCTAAACCAGGTTCTCTTACTGTGCCAACAATTGAATACGGTGATTTTGATTTTGATGTTGCTATCTCACCAGTATCTAAAAGCCCGCTGTCTACTCCAGGATGCGTATCAATAAACTGTTCAGAAACGACACGAAACCTAACTGTTTCACCGATGTCCATATGCAATTCAACTGTATCGCCACAGTTGTCATATTCCCACACCCACACTTTGTCTTTATTATCAAAGCGACTAGGGTTTTGCATGTTTGCTGCTGGCACAAAAATGTCCTCAAAAAAACCAGTCGTTAGTACAGCTCCATCTGAACTGGAGCTCTTCACTTTGCCAATGAGTATTTCTTCGACAAACGGTCTACAACATGAGAAATATGGAGTGTAACAATTTAATTGTCAATGTATAATTTGAGAAAGAACTTGGGTGTTCCCAAAATTTGAAAATAGCTCTATTATAATTGAAGGGTGAAAATACAAAACATACTTTGGTCAAAATTTACAAAATCAAGTTATGAATTGAATTAATAAGAAGCTAATGGAAAATAATCAAGAGATCAATAGGAATCGGAAGGATAGATTAAAATGTACTGCTTTCTGCTCAAATAAAATGTATTAGTTAATCCAAAACAAACCTTTTCCATATATTTAAATAATCAAAACATAATTTTTCTAGTTGTATACCTAATTATTTCTTATGTAAAAAGAATAGATATTACCCAGTAACTATACCAAAACAAACTGTTTTTTATGTTAAAACCTTCAAGTGTAGAGAAATAAAATGGTTAATTCAAAACTAACTAAATTAATGGAAATAATACTTTTTAGATTATTGTTTGAAATGCTAAAAAAGTTTTTAAATAAAAAATTAATAATTTGAAAAAAGTCAAAACCACTATAACTCTTTTTACATAACATTTATTAAGCTTCAATTTAACTTACATTGGCTTTAGAAGAAGAAATACAGAAAATTGCTTCTTCTGAAAAATCAGTATTTGGCAATAATATATTTTTGATTTTCATTTCTCAATATATGTTCCAGTTGGTTTAATTGGCCAGATGAAACTAATTGTTCTTATTTTTTATTAATAAGTTAATATCTGTGGTCATAATAATTCATAAAATATATGATTATTGAATGTAATGATGAAGAATGATGAAGTTGCTCGCCGTGTAATTTAGGTGTTCTTAATCGTTATTGCATTTTGAACTCTTTATAGTATTAACTTTAATCTTAGACTCTCAAGCACATACACAATCAAGAAACTTTTTTGATATAGACTATTGTTTAAAATTAGATGTTATTTTAAAAAGGTATTACAATAACGAAAATAAGCTAAAAGAATTTCCTAGTATATTTTTTTTTTAAAATTAAAACTACACCCTTACACCAAACAAAATAGTGTCACGATAAAATCTTATCCACATACTATCGAGTAACCATCTACAGACTCCCTAGGGGTTTCAGGAACACCCAGCAAAATTTATAATTACCAGATCAATCTTATTATTGAGCCCCCGAAGGAGGCAACTGAGTGCCGACTATGACATTGTTGGTACACACCTGAAGACGATGAATCTAAATCGCACCTTGGAAAAATACGCTCCTTCGCTAGGGTATATTATTGAATCACCGATTTCCAAAATGTCGAACAACGAAAGGCACAAGCCAACATTCATTACTACTTTGTTGGCGAGCATTGAATTGAGGTGTATGACGATCCGGGACATTTGATCATCTTCTAAATGAGTCGGTTGTACCTTCACGACCTCTTCGAATTCACTAACGATAAACATCTCAATAATTCAATTATCTTATACCTTAGATCATAATAAAAAAATGTATATCAGGGATCTGTCTCATTTCTTAAATTAACGAACGTCGTGCAATCTCCTTTTTAAGCATAAATATTAAATATTGAATAACATAACTTAAAGTTTAAACTTATAAACATAACCTAACAAGTAACAAGTAACGGGCAATGGCTTTAATAATGTAACACGGCGTCTAATTACTTGTAGGGTTTGCGTACTATTATCACAAAATAATGCTATTATCATAACACATTTGTTTTGTGTTGTTATTAATGTTATCATTTGTTGACGAGTTGAGCACGATACTCGTATACCATGTGAATACTGAGTACTGAGTAGTGACTGCGAAGATAGAGTTGATAGTGAATCGAGAATTCGAGAATATCATTCGTTTCATTCATCTACTCAGCGTTTGTGCAGCGTCCACACTCCACATAGTTAGTCATTTTATTGTTAATACTTACGGAATTCAAAATGCCTGTAAACTATAATAAAAAAAAGTTAGGTAAAAAGATGAAGAAGACTCCAAATGTTACGTGGTAAGTATTTTATTCTTTTAAATTGTTTTTAGTATGAACAATATGCACACATTATTTTTAAAATTTATGTGAATCTTGTTGTATCTCCAAAAATGATCACTGTTTAGCATTGTATTATTATTAGAAACGATGAGCATTAACCAGTGTACTAGATTTACTTGATACATTAATTAATATCATTGTTCTGGTTCGGTGTACAATTAGTTAATAGGTTTTGATTACAAAATATAATGCTTTAATATACCTAGTTGTTTTTTAGAAATATTATGTTGACTTATGTTAAAACGATCAGAAATTGCATAATTTAAAATATTTAAAACAATGTTTTTATATGTCCCTATAAGTTTTGTAAATTAACGTTGAGTATGTAATAAGTAATAACTAGTAAGTATTTATTATTTAAATGATTGCTTACATTAAATGTAAAACCAGACCTAATAGTTAGTTTTGTTTTAAAATCATATTATTATCATTTTCTTTAATTTAAATCTATATTGGTGTTGTTTGAATTTAGTCCTCTCATAAAAGATCATTGGAATGATAAGGTATCAGTTGCTAAGAATTTAAGTAACTTTGGACTGACAAATAATCCTAGCAAATCCATTTTAACGGGTTTCATCAATACTCAACCACAAATACAAGGTGAAGAAGTAAAAGAACAAAATAAAAAGGTCAGTAAAACAATTATGTTAGCATTAATACTAATTAATTTATGAAAATAAGCTAGTATTAGTGAAACTTATTGAGTAAGTATAATAAAAGATATTTTTCTTTTAGCGTAAAAGAGAAGCAAATCAACCACAAGTTGTCAAACTATTAGAAGAACAAGCAAATAAACCTACAGGAATCAAGCAAATAACATTACCTCCTGGCACAATAAAGTTCATCACCTATCTTATGGAAAAATATGGAGACAATTATAAGGTTAATAACTTAATAAAATTAGCTTACCAATACAATTCAATATTGATATTGATATATATATAAAAAAAATGCATTTCCAAACTTTTCTTTGTTGTGTTATTCATGTGATTAATATTATCAAATATTAATAATGTATAGAAAATATTATATTATTCTTATTCTAAATCATAACATCAAAAAACATTTTCAACATAGTAATGATATCAATAAAATTAAACTAAAACTATGCAAATTAAAAATAATATTTTGTCATAGCATCTAATATGATAAAATTATGATAAGAGTTAAACATAAGCTTTGCAATAAATAATAAATATATTAATTTTAAATCCTGCTTCTATTAAGTTGCATTTATAAATATTGAATATTATATATTACAGGAGATGACAAAGGATCCGAAAAATGTTTACCAAATGACATGGAAACAAATACGTGCAAAAATTTTAACATTCAAAAGCATAAAGGCTTATGAGCATTTAATGCCACGACCAATAGCCGATTTATAATTTAATTTTTGTTATTTATAATCTTAATTAAAAAATAAGTCATTTGAATTTTTTTTAAATTATTTGTTAAAAAAAGTATACACAAGTTGATTTTAACATGACACCAAATATTTCAGTAAATAAACATTTTTTTTCCATATATTTATAAATGCTTTAAGTTCTATATCTTCCATATTTTAGAATTAAACATTCTAATTGACATTAATTAAATGACAAGATACATTATAGTCATAAGATATAAATATAAACCCAGATCTAATTTATAGTTATATTTAACTATCTAAAAAATTGTATTCTCAATATTCTTTTTAAATTATTGTAGTCACACCTCATATTTAATTATTCTTTTTAATAATAGATATAATTAGATATTAATTTCATAATCAATAATCAAATACAAGTGTCAACAATATTTGTTTTTAAAATAATCTTGTACTTAAATTTAAAACAAAAATATAATTGTTTAGAATTGGAAAATTATGTTATTCAATAAATGAAATGTTGTCTTAAAAAAGAAATATAGAACTTTAAGTATTTAAATATGAAAACACTATAAAATAATTAATAAAATTGAGATATTGAGTATCTTAAATAATATTACTTAGTATGCGTATGTATAAAATATATTACATACATACATACTACTGTTTGAATTGAACCAAAAAAAATTAAAAAAAAAATACTTTCATGTTACATATGGGAACTTAATTTTAAGAGCACTTTCCGGACTTCTAATACTGTTTGATGGATTTCATTTGTTTCTGGTCTTGTTTGAGTTTCTAACACTTTTACTTGATGTGATCTAGATGGAATGCTTTTCAAATCGAGTACATTTGAGATCTGTTCTGCATTAAGTGCTCCAGGTATATCCTAAAATAAAGATACTAAATATATAGTATATCCAATATTGCAATCAAATAGATATAACAATATATCTTAACTAAAAAAAATATCACATTGTATTTATCTGGTATTTCTTTTGAAAATATGATTAAATATAAATGTGTAGTATGTAATTAAATTACAAATTTTTCATAACTTGAATTAATATTTTGTTTTATTATAATATTTTTCAAATATTATATATATTTATGAATTTAGTAGATGTTTAAAATATAGACATTTATAATTAATAATATTTTGAAAGATTCATATTAACATTACCTGTTTATTAGCAAGGACTAAAATGGGAACAGAAGCCAAACGTGCATCGCCAAGTAATGATTTGATTTCGCTCACAACAACTGATTGATTTGAATTATTGCTAGCATCAACAACAAACACTAAGATATCTGTATCCTGGAAAAACTTTGGCCAATATCTTCGTACACTTTCTTTGCCACCAACTATAAATAATAAATTGATATTTATATACAAATAAAATAACAATTTTAAGTGTGATGAATTAAAACACAAAACTAACAGTAATTGCTATATAATTAATTTTCTAAAAACTGTAAAAGTATTAACAATCAAAACAATTATTTTCTTATGAAAAAAATGCAATATTTGGCATAGGTAATTATTTATAATTATTAATTACTCTTCTTAACCATACAATTATTCAATTTAAATCAAATTATACTTATTAAAATATAGTTGATTAAATCAAAATTTGACAAAAATCTACCCTAATAAGTTAATAAAATTAGTTTTTATACTTAACAATTTAAAATATGTACTGTATTTTTCTAAGAATCAATAATAACTAAAAAAATTAATTTTTGAAACTAGAAAAATTCTTTTTTTTACATTAATTGCATTCAACACTTTTTAATTAACTTAAATGCAATTTTTCAAGTATTTATTATTTTAAAATAACTAAAAAACATTGTGTATTATAATTTTTCAAAAATTTTAAAAACAATACTATTTTGTTATCATAATTTTATATTAATTTCTAAAGATAAAGAATTATGTACTATTAAATAAAATATATACTTACTTTCCCATATGTTGACTGTAGGAGAACCTCCATCAGATAAAGACGTAACATTAAATCCTTCAGTTGGTTTGTACAAAGCATTTGATGTGATACTTTTTTGTCCGACTTCCTTAACAATTTGTGAGACCAATGTTGACTTTCCAGATCCTTCCAATCCCAATACCAATACTTTCTTCTCCAATGATTCTTCTAACTAAACACACAAAATGAATCAGATCAATACAAAGTCAAAATCTAGTGTCAGCTATATTATTACGACTGTGGTTTTTATTTAAATAAATACTTGCCTTCGAAACATCTTCAAAACCTTCATCATCAGCACTGTACTGTCGCTTCTTCCATGTTCGGTATGCGGCATACGTACATACACCCAAAACGATTCCTGATGAGACTACAACTAGAGCTTTTAATTTTAAGCCCATTGTACACTTTGAAACGCACTAACTAACGATTATTGAAGATTTAGAACAAAACGTCATTGCTTTGACACAACATATTACAAATTTACACATATTTTGTATTCGTTATCATATCGAGCTGATAAAAACGATAAGAAACTTTACATGGAAGAGGACATGTTAAATTGTGCAGTGATTATTGACCAAAATATTTTTGTTAATAGTTTAAGATTATTTTCATTTTCTGCTGATCATAGCTATTTAATACTCTTAGGTTCAGTTAATTATTATTCTACATCAGAGTAGATGGTAGTTGTGATTTTCTTGAGATTCAAAAACTAAAGTTTTTTGATCAGCAAAAATTATTATTTAAGCAGATTACGACCTCAGAAGAAAAAATTATGGGGCGCCAAAATAGCTAAATACAGAATTTACAACTGGTACTTCTACTACGTAATATAGGAAAATGAAAAAGAAGGTAGATACTGGGTACCTACGACCATTGATTATAGAATAGACTATTATATATACTATTATTATATTATTATAGTCTATTCTATAATTAATGCTACGACCTACTTAAATTATTATCAGAAAGGTAAAGAATGGTTTAGAACCAGTTAAATTAGTTGAAACACTTAAAACTATAAAACTCTTTTTATGTCTAATTTCATTTATTTTATACCTCTGTTAAAATGTGCACGATAACGACAAGACACAAGAAGTATTAGTTACTTAAATAAATAAATAAACACTATAGTGCGTTTCACAACAAATGTCATTCGATACTAACGCCCTAGGTGGTGATTTTTACTAAGACCAGGGGTTCACAATTTGGGGTGGGAAATAGAGAGCACGTGTTTTTTAAAATATTATGATCAGTGGTTCCACATTTTTTATATCATTGTATTATCAGGAATTCGGGACACTATATAGGACAGATGTTTTTATTATATATTCGTTATCCTTAATCCTTATTGTATTGTGTAATGTGTACTGGAGAGTACCAGTCCAGGTTTTGTACTGTTTGCCGATTTACTGTTTTGTCATTGACTGTCGTTTGTACGCGTTACTTGTACTCAGTGTTGTTTCCACGTCCGTTTGCAATTTTTTTGTACTTCTTAACTGTTTTTTACTATTGTACTTTTAATTTAAATTGTTATTTTTTAATATGTCTTGCCATTCAAGAGATATACATTCACAAAGTAAAAAAATTATTTTTAATGTTTATACTTATTTTAAAAACTTGGCCAAGGATTCGTCTCAACCCGAAGTGTCTAAATTTTTTCTTCAAACGCAACAAAAAACATCTGAAGCATGTGGAATACATATTAAATCAGTAAAACGTATTACAGCAGAAGGTGCTAAAGCCCTTTTACATACAGAAAATGGAGAACCGTCATTTACTTCGCCTCGTAAGACATATAAACGCCTTAAATATGCGACAGGCATCGATGACTTCGACGAAGACGTTATACGAAGAATAGTACATGAATTTTATGATAAAGGCGAATTCCCTACATCATTAAAAATTTTATCTAAGTATAAAGAAAAAACCGGCTATAAAGGTTCAAAAACATCAATGTGGAGAATTTTAAAACAAATGAAATTCAGGTATAAAAAATGTAACGATGGTCGAAGATTTTTAATGGAAAGAAATGACATTGTGGCAATGCGAGTGCGGTTCCTAACGCGTATGGTAAACCTACGTACAAATAATGATGATCGGCCAGTTGTCTACTTGGACGAGACGTGGGTGAACCAAAATCACACGCGGAATCATATTTGTCAAGACTCTGATAACTTTGAAGGATTTAAAATGCCTACAGGTAAGGGCAGTCGCCTTATTATATGTCATGCTGGTTCGGGAAAATTTGGATTTGTGAAAAATTCAAAATTAGTTTTCCGTTGTACATCAACTGTATCTGAGGATTACCATTCTCAAATGAATTCGGAGGTTTTTAAAGAATGGTTTACACGAATGCTTCGTAATTTGGAAGAGCCTTGTGTGATAGTTATGGATAACGCGTCGTACCATTCGGTCCAAATAAACAGTTATCCAAAAAGTAATGCAAAAAAAATAGAATTACAAGAATGGCTGAAAGAAAAAGAAGTAGATTTTTCACCCATGGAAACGATGTCAGAATTACGCGAACGAATCAAACGGTTAATTTCACAAGAAAAAAAATACGAGCTCGATGAGATTGCATTGTCAATGGGTCATGAGGTTGTACGGTTACCTCTGTATCATTGCCAGTATAATCCCATCGAGCTCATATGGGCGCAGGTAAAAGGAAAGGTCGCAGAACAAAACACAAGTTTTAAAATGGCAGATGTCGAACAGTTGGTTCATAACGCCTTGGATTCCATTACAACTGATGACTGGAGAAAGTGCGTGTTACATTGCAATAAATTACAGGACGATGATTTTATTAAAGAAGGCTTACGTGATAAAATATTGGAGCCAATAATAATGACGATTAATCCTGATGATTCAAGTGAGAGTGAAGATGAGGACAACTACTAAAAATATGTAAGACATTATTTATGTAAAAATTGTAAATATTCTGTATATTGTGTAATACAAATTTAAATTATAATTTATATTATTTTGTGTAATTATTATGTATTTATTTTTTTTATTATTTTAATATTTGATGCACATGTAATTTTTTTAGAAATAATTAATTATAAATCGAAATAAGCATTAATGTTATTTTGTTAAATACATATCGAATTAGAGAGAAAAAGAAACACGTATTTAATTTTAAATTTCCCGCCGTAATTTTACAGTCCATGGATATTATATTTGCTATAGAAGGAACAAATTAGCCATAGAAGCAATTCTATTTGCCATAGTAGAATATATAAAATAGTCATAGTCCATAGAGTCAACTAGATTTGCCATAGAGTAAATAAACTTGCCATAGATGCAAATAAATTTTCTATAGAGTGTATATATAAGGCTTATGTGGTTCGGTTACAAACAAGTAAATATTTTACATTAATTTATCATCATGTTTAAATGTATAATTTATTTTAGACTATCATATAATTGATGATATTTAAATCATTTTTATTCAAAAATAAACTAAGGAATACAGACAATATCATTATTGTTAAATACATCATTAAAAATAATAATTGTTTTAAAATCATTACTCATTAGTATATGTGTGGGAATATATGGAACGTGGACGTCACTGTTTTCTGCCAAAGTTGACTTTCCGTTTACTGCCAATACAAAAATACCTATATATTTTCTTTTGCCGTCATCACAAATTTCAGTTTCTATATTTTGGTAACCCCTGGCTATGTCCAAAGATGAATCGGTGAATACGATCGCCACTGCTGTGGAACAATGTCCCGACATCGTATTGTCGGAACCCGAGGAGCGGCCATCTGGTCCAAGTGGTGCGACGAAGCGTCCTCGAAAGAATACGAAAGTTGCGGCGAACAAACGTTCGAAACAAGAACAACCTAGCGACGCTAGTAAGCAAAGTAGTGGAGTACCTACTGTACAAAAACGATGAAAAAAAATATACCATAGAACACAAACAACGTAGTTGAGCTTTGCGGCATTTTATTCCAAAACGTAGACGACGATTCGGAAGCCTATCAACCGTAGACGATAATATTAATATTGGGAATATTTTGCCATACTCATTTGGAGCGATAGGTTAGGCGATAACATTTCAATATCAAACAATTTTTAACTTTTGGAACTCGCGGGCGCTGACGCCGAATACGACTCATATGATAGCGATGCTGACGGTTTTGAAGAAGATTTTTAAGATGCCATACTCGAATATGCCCATTGCGTTACTTCAAAGCATGTCAACGGATTACATAGGTACATTAGTTCCATCATTGTACCTGATGGACATGATGAACTTGATAAATGCATTACTGAACTTGAACGAAATATTGAACGATATCCACTTGTCCACTGGTACGTCATCGCTAGTCACGTCGATCATATCCACGTGTCCCACATCTGCCCTTACACAAACTAACGTTATCGATGCGCTTTGTTGTGCTGATCAAAATGTTGGGCGAAATTCGGGCGGCGTCGACTTCGTCGTATTACTCAAGCGGCGCTCCTCGAATCTAGAAACTACGCCAATATTATGCGATACTTATGTGAAGGCACTCGACGCGTCATCCGAGTTGGTGGCTTCAATGAAGATGGAAGACTATCTAATAAATATAAATATGTATCGGTATGTATTATGGAATTATATGCTTCTTGAAAAGCAAACATATTGTTTTTAAAAAAGATCATAATGGCAATATTATATTTTCTGTGAGTATCAAATTTACAAAATGTCTTTCCTGTTTTCATATTGTTCGACCTACATACAAATAATAAATATTTCAAAAAAATGTCATTGATTGATTGATTATTGCTCATATTGTATTTAGGATATTTAAAAAAAAATCTGTTTTAAATATAATTTTGTATAAATAAACTTGTCTAAATCAAGGCTTAAACCTAATTCTATTTCGTTTAAGCTCGTCTTAAGTAAATCAGTGAATACAAGTCATGACAATGAATTGCAAAGTTATATTCTACATAGGTAATACATAACTTAGTATATAACTTATAACTTATTCTGTAGGTCTGTAAAGTGTAAATACTAAAATTATAACAAATATAATATGGTTAATTATTAAAGTAAATCATTACCATCAATTTATTTGTGAACTTATAGTAAATTATTAATTGGTGTTTTGGTAACCAGGCTTTTTTCAAAATTTATCACATTTTTGCCATTTTGCATTCATTCCGCTCAATGAGCGATAGTAAGTAAGTTGGTAAATAGTAAAATTCAGAAAGTTGGAACAGAGGCGCTATGAAAATAGCGGATTAAATAAGTATTAAAATGTCCTCTCTAAGCGGACACAATGATAAGCAAAGAGTCCCGACCTTATCTTCTAAGTTCTAAGACCGTGCTGAAAGCTAAACAAAAGTTGAAATTATTCGTTGAACAAGCAGTTTGGTCATTTGGTGAAAACCGTGCAGTCTATCCATGTCAAGGAAAAAAGGAGTTTATTTGAATTAGTTCGATTCTCACACATGTCGACGTCCAGGTAAGCATGCCGTTTCGTTATTTAGGCCCCTATTTTTTGAAAGGCTAAATTAGCCTTCTTTGAATTTGTCACAACGTCGTTACGTCATGTGGCAATATAATCTGGTACGACAACGTCGTAATCTCCCTGTTGTAAATGTTCCAGACCTAAGCGATGCATCTAACGAAAACTTAAGTGAAACAGAAGGTTCCTAGGCAATACATGTACACGATGATTGGAATTACGAAACCAACAGCGATTTGGATTGACATTTTGACGGTAGGCGCAATCCGAATAACGAATTACCGAAAATCCCAATTTCAATCGTACTAATCAGGTTCTGGAAACTCGATTTGGACGACTCATCATCTATGTCAAGCGCTGTGTTGTCGAGTCGAGCAATGGTCCTAATAGTCAACCCTCAACAACGCCAGGCACATCAGACAAGAAGAGAAAGATGGAATTATCTGGGATGGGGAATGAGGATGCTGCTAATGCAGATACTGAGAATCCTAGTATTGAAAACGCTATCATACCTAAGCCAATGTCTCATTGTCTCATATAACAGGAAACATCATGGTATTTGGAAAAACTCACAGTTTGGTCAGCTACGGCATGGCAAGTGTTCAGTTTGACTTTGGGACCAATATTAGTATTCACTTTTGAAACGAATATCTACATCGACGTCGAATTTGGCAACATTAAATTAAAATAAATTTATACAATGGTCCGAAGGATTGTGCAATAAAATATGCGGTATACATTTAATATATGAATTTCAATCGGAAAATCGTATGAAACCATCCTATGCTCATTTCATATCTACAGAATATATAAATCGGACAGTATCGGCTATGTACGGCACGAAAACAGAAAATTGGTTAACGCCTAACTGGGATGAAGGTTTCACATTACCGTGTTCGTATTTAAATTTACCAACGGCTTTTCCATATTACTGTACATACTATGCGCCGACGAAATACCGTAATGATAGAAATAAAGACACGCTTTATTTTTATTGTCAGTTGTCGCACAAATTTAGAACGTAATCTTTCCTTTCTTTTCTATTAATAGAAAAAAAACATGATTGTGAACATAATATTATTATCTATGTTATAAAATATACGTAGGTATATATAATATAATATTTTAATTCTTTCACTCAGGGGTTACCGAAATATAGTAACTGAAATTTGTAGTAGCGGAAAAAGGAAATATATATTTTTGTATTACCGGTAAAATAAACAGACTTTGCGGTAAATGGAAAGGCTGATTTTAGAGAAAAAGTAGATCACCCATGGAACGTAATAATGTAAGCTAAATTAGCTAATGAAATTTAAAGTTTTAATTTTAGCTTTACATTTAAAAAAAATATTTACTGAATCCCATTCTTAATTAAATTTGTAATGATATACTATCAACTATAATTATTTTTAACAATCATTTTATCATATTATTATAATTCTATGTAGTATTTTTTTAACAATATTACGCATAAAATTATTTGCAGTTAAATGAAAAAAAATCACATTACCTAGCATTATAATATTAAGTACATTAAAAAAATTCTATACACTATTAATTCAATAACCTACCAACTCGGGTTAGTTATAAAAAAAAAATATTTTATTATTTAATTTACTAGGAAAATTGAAATATTATTTATTTAATTAATTTTGATATAGGTACCTATACTCATCATATTTATCAGTTATCACTTATCACTATGCATTTAAAAATTTTATTGAATTTTAAGTATTATGATCATTGATCAGTATTATTTTAATTATTAATCAATTATATTTTGATACATTATAGTGGTATATTTGATATAAAAAAAAAAAATTAAAAAATAGTAGGTATAATAACATTAATCATTAAAGAATCTTATTGTTGTCATAGTATGAGCTTATGGACACATGGCATCAAAATTCTGACAGTAGATTATAATAACACATACATATATGTATTATCATAACAAGAAAATTATTTTTACATTAAAACACATAAAAATATATAATAAACACTGTTTATTTTCATGATAATAAATTAATTCGTTTTAATTTATTAGAGAACACACACCGATATTTTTACATTAAAATATACTGTCATATCCTAAAAATACTCATTAATTTTTAGTTTGTATATTTATAACCTTTTGGTGGGTAACCATTGATATGAAAGTATTTCAATGAGTCACAACTGCGTTTTTTACATAATATTCAGTTGAAACAAAAAACAATTTAAAAAAAAAAAATTATATTTTTGAATATTTCTTATTTTTATAGTTAAACAACTATAAAGCAGATATGTATCTAATTTATATATATATATATGTACATTTTAGATTAAATAAAAAATAATACAAATCATCAATGAAGAAGCTTTAATATATACAGTTCCAAAATCATTGAAACTTAAATTGATTATTAGGTAGTCATTTACAGTATGTTCGTACTGTTTTTGGTTAATTGTATACTTATTTATATTACATGAAATTAATAAAACAAACTTTTTGTCAAGTCAATTAAACTTATTTGTTTATCACCACTTGTCTCTTAAAAAATTACAACTTTATAATTTTATTTATTTAAATCAAAAATAAATATCATATTTATAAAAATGAGAACATTCAGTATGCTCTGCTGGCAAGCACTACAAAAAAAGTGGAGCAAATTTTTTATAGAATTTTCTCCCAACTGTGGAACAAATGATTAGTGGAACTACAGAAAACAGATATTGTTCATTTGTCCCACTTTACACTTATTTGTTAATTTATTATTTACTTTACACTCGAATACGCCATGTAGATAACATTATATAAGGATTACGCTCATATCAGCTGATCGAAAGTCATTTCTTTATAATGTCCTGTGCATTTGTGGTATAGAAATGGAATAGATAATAATATTATCAAGACCTTGAATTTAATCATATAAATGTATAATAATCATTAATTTATTATTATTATTATATTATCTCAAGCTGGTCCCCGTGTTCTAATTTTATTCAATTTTGGTTTCATTTCGTTTGAAGTGTTCGGACTTCGGTATATCCGTCGTCCGTCTTCGTTTATCAGTCATCAATCTGTTGCCATTTTGCCAAACCCCGGAGTGCGTGTCCGACAATTGACATTAATTTTAATTTGCCCATTGCAATCTGTAACGGACTTAGAGAACAGTCTGAACAAATACGTCATATATTCATCTAGTCGTAAGTCTAAAAAAAAACAACAATGTTACATCTTACATCATTTGTCGTTGATCACGTATCATGATGATGTGTGTTGTTTACGTTGATATAGAGGAGCTAACCGAAACCAAAGTTATAATGTTGTGTACGTCAATAACAAACAATTACCACACTATTACTGTTGTTTAGCCAAAATTTATTTATTGGTGTTTGACGGTGTGTGTAACGTTTGTGACGTTTGTGTCAATGGTATTGCCGGTATTACATAGGATTATCGACTAACATTACAATATTGTTAATTATTACATTCATGTACTAAATCTGTTTTTGAACGTGTTAGAACGCAATGGCGACTACTAGCAACGACTCGGATTCTTCGCGTAAAAACACAGACAAAGAAAATGATAGCAAAGACGAACAAAATAACATGTTTGAATGTAACATATGCTTGGATAATGCGAAGGATGCGGTTGTCAGTGTTTGTGGCCATTTATTTTGGTTAGTACTATTGATAAATTTAAACTGTAATGCCAAGTAAATTTATTAGTTACTTTTGTGGGCTGATAAAATTTCCTCATTAAAATAACTTGTTTTATTTTATTCATGACATACAACATATTTAGTATTTTACAAATAGTGATTGAAATGTCGGATTCGTTCTTTATCCAATACATTTTTATGGAATTATGCCCATTCAAAAAGTTAGTTCAGATTGTAAATAAAAATGAGTAAAACATACATGAAAAATGTTTTATATTTAGACATGCATTATTTTTCAATTTGGTTCCCACTATTATTTAAACACTTATTTAAACTCGTCACTAATTTTTGTATTCGGAACCTTAAATTATGGTAAGAAGCTACAGGATTTTAAATTTGTTTGATATTATACACTCACAATTTGTCAGACAAGATCTTCATCATTTAATAAATAATTATTGCTTTTCCAACAAAAATATAAAGATAAAAAATGCAACCTACTTTTTGAACTTATCTTCGTTTGCAAATGTAAAGTAATTATATTTTTAAACTAAAATATTAATTTCCAATTTTATAGTAAATCTTATAATAAAAGTCAAAATGTACTGTTCCTATACATTCTGATAATCTGTTAGTAGAAATTTAGAACAACCCATTTAAGAAATCTAGTTAATTCCTCATTAATAATATAGTATAATAAAATATTAAACATACTTAGGAATTATCAGAGCTTGAAAGTTATAAGAGATAGGTAAAATGAACAAAATCTGCAAAAAACAAAATTTTAAAATTTTAAATTGTTGGATTGTTAGTAGGTATATTATTATGTTAAAAATAATTATTATTAAACAAAAAAATGATTTTAAGATTGGTGATAAATGATAATATTATTGAATTGAAAAAATGTTATTTGTATCTAAATTCTAAATAGTATTAATAAAAATATACTCACTATTTACAAAGTTTTATATAATAAAATATTATATTAAGTTAAAAAATTAAAATATCAATTTTGTTTACAAAACATTTAATTTATGCTTTTTGTTTTCAAAAATTAAGAAATATACCCAATACACGTTTATTTTTTAAAATTGATGATATTATATGCAAAATATCTATGAATTTAAATTTTTGATTTCTAATTTCATCATTATCTCTAAGTTCACTTTGATATAAAATGAAGTCATATAGAAAAATAAATAAATTTTTTATTTTTGAGCTTTATTAATTAGTAGATTTTGGATTTAGTAACGATCCAATATGTGACCTACATATTTTACTCGACCTACCGATAACACTGTGTTGATTTACATTCTACTTCTACAAGTTTATTTATCACAGTTATTCGTTGTTGTCATTTGAGAATTTTATTCTATTTTGTTTTTGTTCTCCAATACTTACAATCATTAATACTTGCCTTTAGTATCCACAGTTATACTTACCAATCGATTCATAAAAATAATGACTTTTTTACATACCTACATGGATCTTAACAGCCGTTGTAATAGTCAACTATCATTATGTGAAATAATAGAAGTAGTTTGGTTTTGGGTTAATTTAGTTCCAGTAAATCAAACTAAGTTGGACTGGTAGAAGCAAAAACACCATCATTGATTGGTATAATATTTGCAGAGATATACCAGTATATTATTTTTCACAAAGAGAAAAAATGGGTGGTTATGGTTGTATTGTTCAAATTGACAAATTCCTTTTTCAAAGTAAAAGGAAGTATACTGTATTACCGTGGTCGATTACAATGTGGGGGCATTTATTAGTATTTTACACTTATGACAGGTCACGTATGGGACCATAAGTCAGCGTGTAGGTCACATATTGGATCGTTACTTTGGATTTAAAGGTTAATGACTTTTTTCTTATTTAGTGATAGAAATCTAATTCTTTTACAAAAATGTAATTAAAATATATTCTTGGTGGCTAAATTTCATGTGCTTGTCAGTAAATGTTTTTTTCACATTTAAGTGATTTTTTTTACCTTAATAAAGTAATAATTTAACCTTAATAAATTACTATTGTTTGTTTATTTAATAAATTGTTTGTATTATTATTTTTTTGTAATTTAACATTTTTTATATTGTAGCTGGCCATGCTTGCATCAATGGTTAGAAACTCGATCAAGTCGACAAGTATGCCCAGTGTGTAAAGCTGTTATAAGTAAAGATAAAGTAATACCAATTTATGGACGTGGAAATACCAAACAAGAAGATCCCAGGTAAATTTAAATTATAATTTTTTTTAGCTATAACTAATATTGATAATTTGAATAAATTCAACTTAGTTATTGAAATAAATATGATAAATAAATTGTTATTTTAAAATTAAACGTCTTATTAATCATTATACATATAGGTGCAACTAGACCTCTAAAATGTGGGGTGCCAAAACTGTTAATACCTCACAAAGCCATTGATATTTCACTAAAACAATAATAATTAGGCATAAAAAAATAATGGGTACTAAATTTGAATTAGGAAGTGCTAAAGATCTTTTGCACCCCCCAGTTGCACTACTGATTAAACATTGCTTAACAATATTATACAAATTATATTTTATTGTTGTAACTTCTTTGGTTTATTAAATAATACTTACATTAATACAAACAATTTTATTTTATTATTTATAATATATATTTTAATATTGTCTATTTTAATGTTGACTTGTTACTATCTAATTTTTAAGATAATACCCATAAATTCAGTGTTTATTATTTAATATATTTTTTTGTTTTAGAAATAAAGTGCCACCTAGGCCTGCTGGCCAAAGAACTGAACCTGATGCTAATACTGTAAGTTATCAATTATTGTAATTTTTATTTATATGAAACTGATTTTAATTCTTTCAGGGATTCCCTGGGTTTAACTTTGGAGATGGCGGTTTCCATTTATCATTTGGAATAGGAGCATTTCCTTTTGGATTTTTAACATCGTTTAATTTCTCTGATCGTCCACATGGAGGTAAATACAAAATAGTTGATTCATTTTTGAGTTCTCACTTTCAATTATTGATTTAATTTAATTAGTTCCGATTGCTGGTCAATTACAACAAGATGATCATTACTTGTCAAAATTGTTCTTATGGATTGCAGTAATATTTATTATTTGGCTGCTGTTGGCATAATTTACTCTTATAGTATGTTTTATTTTATTATGATTCTATCATTTATTAAACTACTATAGTAAGCATTTCACAATGGCTACTTTTTTTATAATATTTTTATTCACTATCTAATTTTAACCTATTGTTTTTTTAAGCTTTTCAAATTATCTTCAGTTTTTATTTATCGGTGCCTAGTTTGAAATCCTTACCAAGGTTATTAGTCATATTATTTTTTTTTTTATGATGTAAAGAATTTAAGTTATAGTTTAATATTAAACTTTTTAATAATTTGACGATTATTGATCTATTATGTCATGAATATTTTTGGAAAAGGCTATAATTTAATTAGTTCCATATTTTTAATTTCATTATGTTTGCAAAGCAAATATTAATTTTTGTATTGTTTAAAGCTATTATAATATTGAAAGGGCTTATTTCCAATTTCACAGTCTAATTGTGTAATTATTATTTATAAATAATATTGTTTTATTGATTATTATAATTTATTTATGATGGTATTGTTTTGAGTTTATTAAAATAGCATAATATGTAATTTTTTTTTATTGTTAAATTATTCAGCATACTGTCTGTTATCCATTACAACTATTTAATGTTAATTTTTTTTCTTTATTTATGTCTCCTATTTCAGTCAACTCTAAGATATACTTGTGATTAGATAGACTAAATAAAATTATTGTAAGTACATTTTATCATGAATCTTTCTTAAGATTATTAACTAATTTTGGTTGATAAATCACCATTGGTAATTAAAAAGGTTGTTTATCAGAGGCGTGTTCATTAATTACCAGTTATTTGATTACTTATTTTTATTTATAAATATTTATATTACTTTATACTGTGTATAGTATATACAGTAGACGCCGCTTATAAGACTCACGGATATAAGGTTCAGTTGCTTATTAGACTCAAAATCGTCTGGAACGGTCCGGACGTATCCAAATACATTAAAAAAAAATCGGTTTTAAGACTCAATACTTCGGTTATAAGACTCAAATTTCGTAAAATAAATAGTAGAAAATAAACTTTTTTGGTTATAATTTAGAAATAAATTGGTTTTGAAAAATGAAATAATATTCGTGTTGATTATTTCTAGTTTCTGTTGGTATCTTATAACGTATAATAATTTTTATCGCAGATAAAAGTTCACATTTATCGCAACGATAATTATAATTTATAGCGATTATAATTTTAGATTTTTTTATCCGGATTATTAAATTTATTCAATAATAAAGTATGTAATATGTAATATGTGTTAATGTATTAAAATCAAAGCAAAATATATAGTAAAATAAAATTTATAAATACGTAATTAATTTTTTTTTTCTACTTCGCCTATATTTTATAAGATTCATTCGGTTATAAGACTCACTTTGTGCTGGTCCCAAAGTGAGTCTTATAAGCGGCGTCTACTGTATTACATAACACTAATTTAATTAATATTATTTTTATAATCCTTTGGAAATTGTTAACGGCATGATATTTGACGAATTCCCAATAAATGGATTATGTAAATTTATCAGTTTTAACTTTTAAATAGAAAACATTTCTTATACCATCATCATTGATAAGTTATAACTTATCCTAATATATTCGTTTAAATTGGTATATTTGTGTTGATCAGTATTTGATATATACAAGTTGTACCTACACTTTTTACATTGAATATTATGATTGAAGATTAATTGTAGCTACAGCTGGACTTATTTCTATAGACTACACTGTCTAGTTTTATTAAATTAATTTTTTTTGTAACTTTTATACTTTTTTATATACATTCTTAATATTTTATGAGACATTTATTTTTCTGATTCACCTAAAAGGTTTTTAGATTTTATTTATTGCACTGAGTAAGTTTATTTACTTTATATTTTTATGATTACATATTAATATATAGTTATAATATTATACACGATTTAAAAAATATGCTTGCCTCATTTTATCCTTTAGTTATCTATTTATTTAAATATTAATATTTAGAATTTTTAATTATGACTACTGATTATATTTACCAATTGCTTAGATTATGTGTATTATTTAAATAATTCCCCGAGACAATAAATTATTTTCAAATGAGCCCCCTTTGCTCTTCCCCCTTCGATCCACCCCTATCATGGTGAACTCTCAAGACTTTTTTTGCTTAATGTTGATTTTAATTAGCTGGACATAAATGAACTACTTTTCACGCATTTCCTCCGAATAAACTGTTTACATTCCTTGTGTTTAGTAGTATACACATAACTATTTAAAGCAACTTTTTCGTTATTTTTATTCAATTTTAATAATTTCATTATTGATCACAGTGCACAAAACAAATTACATGTATCTATTTTGTATTTCAACAATTGAACACATACTAATAACGTAAAAACAATAAACATATTAATATCTTTAATTTTATCGATCGACAAACTTTAAATTATGTTATTTTTATAATCGTTAAATACCGTTTGCGTAGGTGTAGTTTGGGGGGGGGGCTTGGGGGCTTAGCCCTCCTAAAATGCAGATGAAGCCCTCCATGTGTTAGTACATGTCTACTCCTAGAAAGGCTTCAGTCCCCCCCAAAAAAAAAAAAAATTTGTTCACCATACGCCTATGACCATTTGTACAGGTAAATAATGGTTTTTCGCACTTACCTTAAGATACCTATTAGATAACTATGTGATCCTTCAGATCCTTGATACTTTAGTTATAAAATTAAAAGAAAGATTTTCTAATGATAGTTAACAAATGGAGTATATCTTAATCTTGTATCTATTGATAATTTTTTTTCAACTAAAATTTGAAGAAAGTCGATTTTTTATTGATTATTATCGAGTAAACTTTCAGTTTTTAGTTTTATGACTAAAGTCATTAATACATTTTAATGTTTTCAGGGGCTATTGAATTTATCAAATTTCAATATTCAGTCAGAGATGAATGTAGCAAAAAATAGCATCTTGCAATCAGAAAATTAAATAAATTACCTATGATTCAATAAAACAAAAAATTTCTTAAAGTGTATTTCTCAACTTAAACAAACTACTATAAGAAGCCATATAAATACTTATCAGCTCGGCTACATGTGAACGAAGCTTTTCTGCGATGCGCAAAGTTAAGACATGGGCTATGTACGAGTATACTGCAAGACAAATTTAATAACTCTTCAATACTTTGCATTGAAAAAGATATCAATATCAATATTGAAAACGTTAGGTGTTGATATATTTTCTAATCAAAATAGGTTTATTGTACTGAAATTATTACAGTGGTTTAGACGGTTTAGTGGTGGGCATACATAACGTGACCATATTTTTTTTTCTTCAAAGCGGGACACCTATATACTTTAATAAGAAAACCACATCATTTTGCGAAAAATAACAATTTTTTTATTGGAAAAAAAACATAAACTATTTGTATAAAAAATGGTAACAGAAAAACGGAACTAATATATTAATAAGTATAATAATTATAATAATAAATAATGTAAAAATAAATAATAGAGTATATTATTCGGCTGTATTCCATTTATAGCCGATTCCCGCAGTTGACGCGGTGGCAGCGACAATAACAATAAGGTAGTTATTTTTGTACCATTTTGATCTATGTACTATGGATTATGGGTTTTAGTGTTTTACGTAATACATATATATATATATATATTACGTTTTTGTACTATACGTCTATAGAGTATAAATGTATAAATAATGTATGATTGTGATTTGTGATCAATAAACACTTACCACAAGTCGATTTTTCTTAAAGCGGGACATTTTTAGGTTCTTTGGGGACAGCGGGATACTTAAGCTCGAAAGCGGGACGTATATGGTCATGTTAGGTATACAGCGTATACCCACTCCTCTGATTTTCCGTAAATGCGTATACTTATAGAATAACACATGATACGCGGGTATACGCGTATGGAAATGCATTAATTTTACAAACAGTGCAAATAACGACAATACAAGACTGTGAAGACTGTAATTAGACATTAATATTATCCGAGATATTATCTATTGCACAGCGCATGGCTAAACGTTATTTATATAGGGCCTATGGGGGGGGGGGTGAGGGACAAAGCCTCCCACGTTTATATTTCAATCACATTTAAGCATATACTCGCTAAAAAAATTACGACTACATCACTGCCAAAATAATAACATATTTATTGTTCAATAAATTATTGATTTTTAAAGTAAGGTACATTAACTTTTTAGTTGATAATTTAGTAGTAAATAAATATTGAAGTCTGAAGGTAATATTGTTATTAGAGAGGGGGAGTGGGGCAGTCTCCACGGCTTGTTTTGCAAAGAAAGCTTTAAGCCCCCGCTCTAAAATTCAATCAAATCTCCATCTATGGTTCTCTGTCCGTGTTAAGGATGTTAAGCGACAGCCGACAAGAGATCTAGAACTAACCATCTTTCCATCACTTAATAGCTTAGAAATTAAAGACACTGGTATTGTAGTTGAGAGACAAAAGTCGTCGCAGAAGCAATATATAGGTGGTTTTAAGAGCTTAATTATAGAAATGTGACCTAACCCAGATGGTGTTTCAAGTAGAAGAGTTAGAGATGAATTTCCGTGTTCTAGCATAGCGCATAGGTATGACGGTATATGTACAATATATAATATATATCAAATAGGTCATCTTGGATACGTGTTCTTATAGTAACTGGTGTGTGAAAGGTTGTTAATCCGTTTTGATTATTACAAGTGAATAGTTTTGATAGTTTTTGGTAAAATTTAGTCTGTACGTGTTGTCACTCCATTATAGTCAGTGGCGTATCTGGGGGGGGGGGGTACGGGGGCCATGGCCCTCCCTCGTTGGCCTTATTTACTAGATTTTGTTTTAAAGATTTAAATTTATTTGTATGCATGAACGCATACTACAATAATACTCTTATACCAGCATTACATACACTTATAATTTTGTTGGGATTAACCCGTTTTTATTATTAAATTACTATTACTATTTATTATTATGTATATATATATATAACTGACTGAAAATATAAACAAATTATTTGCACTATAAACATTAAATATTTGGTTTATTTTATTTTTTTTGTTTTTGGTAGTAGGTAGTATATATGGTAAAATTTTAGACAGTGTGTGCCCCCCCCCCCCTAAAAAAAATCCTGGATACGCCACTGATTATATAGTACTAAAACTATTTTAAATTAAATGAAAAATAATGTTTTTTTAATTTATACATTTTTAAAAACAATATTATATAAATATAATGAAAATAAGCAAATTATTTATAATCTTGTTTCGTTGTTATAACATATGTTTATTA